TGACCTGAACCGAAACCGAGAGTCAGGTGCTTAACTGACTGAGCCACCCAGGTGCCCCTCTCCCTGTTTTATTGATAAAGAAACTGAGGCTTGAGAAGTCACAGTCAGTAGCAGAGCCTGTCTGGTCCCAAAGTTTGTGTTTTTCTCCTCTTCTTCCTCCTGGGACAGAATCTTCTCTCCAGCCTCCTTGTGGCCATCCGGCCTCTCCTTGCGCACCTCCAGTGACAGGGAGCTGTTTACCTCTTAGGGTCACCTGTCCCACACTGGGCATCTGAGATAGAAAGCCTTCCCTGGAGTTCTGTCTTTGGTGGGTCACTTGAGAACAGGTTCCAATTGGGCTGGGGTGTGTCTGTGGCTGGGTTTCCCCAGCAGTTGTCTTCCCAGGGAATTATCCAGCTCTTTTGTTGGGGGAGAACTAAGTCTGCCCTCCTTTCCCTTAGCAGCCCCTACCTGGCCCTTCATATGCCATTGGTCACATACTGAGCAAGCCTGAGCAAACTTGATGTTGAAACCCTAGAGGTAATTTTCATTATCATTGATCTGGATGTCTTAGTCAATGCAGTAAGATAGGAAAAGAGAGAGAGAGAGAGAGATACAAGATACCAGGAGAGAGATACATGGTCTTGCCTTGTGGACTTCAAAGCACTTTTTCATCTAGCTTTTCCTTTAGCTTTGAACAAAATGTTTTTCTAACTTTCCTTTTATTTATTTTGCGCGCGCGCGTGCGCGCGCGCGAGAGAGAGAGAGAGAGAGAGAGAGAGAGAAAGAGCACGTGCACTGGGGGTGGGGGGGAGGGGGTTGGAGGGGCAGAGGGAGAGAGAATCTCAAGCAGGTTCCACGCCCAACATGGAACCTGACACGTGCCCAATCCCAGGACCCTGGGATCATGATCTGAGCCGAAATCAAGAGTCGGGCACACAACAGACTGAGCCATACAGGTGCCCCCGACGACTCCAATTTTTTTTCTTTAATTTTAAGTATCATACACCCAACGTGGGGTGCAAACTCATGACCCCGAGATCAAGAGTCGCACGCTCTTCTGACCGAGCTAGCCAGGCACCAGCTTCTCCCCCAGCTTTGTCCATCCTGTGGGGCTTCCTGTGGGAGCTGGAGGCTCAGACAAGGAGTTTGCCCACCTGCAGTGCCACGGAGCAGAGGAGCTGTGGTTGGCTGAGGTTTGGCGGTGTGCGGTCTGTTGCGTAGTTGCTTTCAGAATCTGTTGCTGTTTCTGCCTCCGCTTCCCCTTTCTGATTAGTTAACTCCTGAGGGATGAGGGCCCGGAAAGAAGGGACCCCAAGCATGTCACCTTCCCGTCCCTCCGAGTGGCCCCCTGAGAGACTGAGTGGCTGTTGTTCTGTTTCCCCGTTCCTGGCCCCCATTTCATGGCATGAAACTCATTGCAGAGCACTGCACACCACGGGACCCCTGAGCTTGTGAAAGACCCCAGCGCCCACCTGAACACTCCTTTCCTGGCCGTCAACGCTCGGGCAGATGGAACTTCTTTCCGTCAGTAGGCCTCATTATTGATAACACAGGACCCCGTCTGGTCAGGCTCTGTAGATCTCCTCATTTCATCAAATCCCCAAGACAACCTGGCCAGATGGGTACTGCCTGTCCTCCCATTTTACAGCTGAGGGAACTGAGGTTCTGAGAGTATCAGTCCCATGCCCACGGTCCTACAGCCCAGGAGCGGTGGAGTTAGTACTTGAATCGAGATCTGATTCCAGAACCTTGATACCGTTCTTGACATAGAAGGTATTCCTGCATTTACTTGTGGAATGGATTCATGCTTTCTCGAACGTCTGAATTCGTGCATTTCCTGTGTCTTCTGCTTGGCACCCTCTCCCTGCCCAGTCCTCCTCCTCCTTTACCTACTTAGCACCTCTTCATGTCTCAGGCGCCATTTTCTTCCAGAAGTCTTCCCTGACTCCACCGGCTAGGTTAGCGGCCTCTCATCTGGGCTCCTGTAACTTCCCGTGCTGCTCCCAACTGGGGGCTTACCATGCTCATTGTCGGTTTTGTTGATAGTCTTTCTCCCTCATTAGATAGAAGGGCTGGTCTAGTTCCTTCCTGAATGCCCACTGCCGCGTGGTTGATGAATGAGGGCAACATGAAACCTTTCTTGGCTAGCACAGTGGAGCCCCCAAGACCCTCACTGGACTTTGGCTCCGCCCCCAGCGGTCATTTTGGTTGGCTCTGAGGGCCTGAATTTCACGCCGGGTCCTGTCCTCAGCTCCTGCGTCTTGTGGCCGATGGGGAGGGGCTGGGCAGTGATGCTGGCTACCAGGTGGTCAGAGAGGAAGGGCTCAGTCAGGAAGGTCTGCCTGGGCATCTCAAGGGCTGGGCACCGAGGGGAAAGTCGGTGGTGGGTTCTCAAACGGGTGGGGTCCAGGCCAGTGTGAGGGTGCTGTGGCAGAGCGCCCCGTGTCTCCAGTCCAGACTTGGACATGTGTTGAGGAAATCAGGGCTGCTGCCCTTTGGCCTGGGGCAGTTGTGACAGGTGTCCGGGCCCCAGGTTAGAGGGCTCCAGTGGGTGTGGCGAGGATGAAAAGAAGGGAATGGAGAAGGGTGTTGCCCAGAAGTCAGCAGGGATGGGTGGGCGGGGGTGAGGAGGATGGAGGTTAGTGTTTACAAAATCACCGTCACAGATCAGCTGCCTCTTTGCCCGTCCTGTTGACAACAGCCGCCTGAGAGAGAAGCCACTTATCCCCAGTGCACAGAGGAGAATACCCGGGCTCAGAGGCGAGGCCACAGGACCACGGAGCTGGGCTTTGTTGGCACCTGTCTGGTTCCCAAACCAGGGCTCTCCCTGAGGGGGACAGGGACGTTAAGCAGGGGTGTGCACAGTGTGAGGCCGCTGGTCCTGCTGGAGCATCTTGGAGCTCTGGGGGTCCTCCAGGCTGCCTTTGACTCCCCCTTTGATCCTTTTGTCATGGCTTCCTCGGCCTGGGGTGTGTGGGGTGTGGCCTTGGCCACGGCAGGGCTTGGTGCAGAACGCCAGCCCCCGGAGGAACCCCAGGAGTGGGAGCGGTGCCCCCCACGGTAGGCGCAGTGCCGGGGACCCTGCGGTGGGCCTGGGGTAGGTGTGGGTAGAGGCCAGTCCTGCCCTGGCTGGGGCCGGGGGTGGGGCCTTGGCACCCTTTCTCCACCCTCCGCAGCTTGGCTCTGTGTTCTTGGGTTCTGGGCTCCCGGAACAAGCCGCCAACTGTGAGCTGTGGGTACGGTGCTGCCAGGCAGGGAGGGAGGGCCCCGGAGGAGATGAGAGGGCTTTTGTTTCCCTGTTTGTGTCAAGATGGGAATCGACTTCCTCCCACCAGGCTGCCCGGGGTATAAAGGAAAGGGCAGTCCCCGCTGGGCGGGTCTTCAGTCTGCCTTTTTTTCTTTCTGGCATTTCTCTGGGCCCCACTTCAGCCACCTGCCTCCCTCCTCAGGCCCTCCCGTACACTCTTCCCCAGCAGACCTGGGTCTCTGAGCCGTGGTTAAATATTTGCCAACTGAGAAGAGCTTTAAAGGCAGCTTTGTGAGAAATCCCACTGCCCTGTCCCAAAGCTGCCTTTGCGACGGGGAGCCCCAGGCAGCCTCTGCCCTCCTCAGCCTCCTTTTTGGGCCTGTGGCGGCCATTTGGGCACCTGAAACTGGATGGCCTTCCCTCCAGGGGTGGCCTTCCCCACTCAGCACTTGCTTATCGGGCACGCACCTGGGCCAGGCACGAGCTGGGTTCCGGGGAGACGGCGGGAACAAGGCCTCTGTCTGGGGAGTGGGGTCGAAGGAGACTTTCGTGGGGATACAGCCGCTGTAGGTGAGAAGAGGGCCAAGGAGAAGTGGGGGCTGCGGGCACTGGACCTGTCTTGGGTTCCGAGGAGGTGATGTTCGAGCCTGAGGGGGAGGAAGAGGAGATGGCCAGGCTGAGGGGGGCTTTGAGAGAATGTTCCAGGCCGGAGACCCTCAGACCAGAGCCAGTTCCCTCTCCTGGGTGCTGAATTCTGACACCCCTCCCCTGCCCAGCTGCTCTCTTCTGCCCCATTCTCCTAGCGTTGCTGCTCCTATTCCCCAGCCTCGGTTTCCCCATCTGTCCAATCCAGAGCTCGAACTTCATCTTAGAGGGCCCTTCCCAGGTCCAGTGGCCTGTTATAAGCGTATGTCACTGGTCCATTAATAAGGGGACACTCTGGGGCAGGGATTCTACTGGTGCCAAAGGTTAAGATGACAGCCATGTATCTTTATATTGTTCACCCAGTTCTTTGTTGACAACAAAAGTCAGCATCTCCTGAGGACCCCTCATCACCGAGTGAGATTGTGTGTGGGAAACTATCACGTTATGCCCATTTTACAGACAAGGAAACTGAAGCCCAGAGAGGCCGTCCTGAGCTCAGGGTTTGCTTCTTGCTTCAAGCTTGGCCCCCTAACACCCCTGCCTCTATGAGACACCCACTTTTCTGTCCCCAAACCCGTGCCACGCTGGGCGCTTGGGATACAGAAGGTAATAAGGTGCCCCTTTTGACCCGGGCAGCTGCCAGGCGAGTGGGGAATGTCCTGGCAGAGAGACTACAAATGTTTTTGAGCTCTTTCTCTGTTTCAGCACCATTCTAGGTGTTGGGATAGAGCAGTGGACAGTGGATGGCTTGGCCTCAGGTCACAATTTCCCTCTTACCTGTGTGACGTTGGACAAGTCACTTCACCTCTCTGAGCCTCATCTACAAAATGGGTTCAAGAGTAAATCTGGGTGAGGGTTAAATAACGTTGAGGATACTTGTTAGCATATATGGGAGCTGCCTCCGTGCCTGGCAGTGGGTGAGTGCTACAGGCCTTCGCTCAGGCCCCAATTATTATTATAATTATGCACAAATGGGCAATCCCAGGAGATATTTGAGTGGGACCTTGAAGTCTGGCTAAGACTTTGTGTTTTTCTTTTTTTGGCTAAGACCTTGAACTGTGGAAACAAGGCGGGGAAGGGGCTTCTGCAAGGGGGCACAGCACGGGTGAAAGCGTGGAGATGGGGGCCTGGGGTGGATAGGAAATTACCAGGGCGGGGCCTCGGGGAGGGAAATGGGGCTCAGAACCTGGCGGGTCCTGGATCTGATTCAGTGTTCTGTCTGCGGGCCACGGTGTGCCAGGCCCCGTGGCGGGTGTCAAGAATGCAGCGACAGGCGAACCTCCCGTCTCCTGGGGTGTCGGAGCCCTGGAAGAGCCTCTCTGAAGCACTTTGCATGACTGTCCTTTGTGTCTCCACATCCCTGGGAGGTTCTCTGGGTTCAAGCCCCCAGCGTGGATTCAGGCTTCTCTACCTGACAGCTGGCTGACTTTGGACAAGTCACTGGGCCTCACAGCCTCCTGTTTCCTCAGTGGGGGTGGTACCTGTACCCACCTCCTGGGGTTGCTGCCAGGGCCCGGTGGCAAATGCATTAAAGGCCCAGCAGAGTAAGCCTGGGGATCAGCAGCCAGCGTTGTGCCTTACCAGCTGTGTGACGCTGAGTAGGCTCCTTAACTGCCTGACACTTTCTTCCCTCCTCTGTCCACTGGGGTAATGACAGACCCTCCCTCCCTGGGCCATTTTGATCTCCTCCATAAAGCCCCTTGCACAGAGCTGGCATGCCATCAGGTAGTTGCCACGATCGGGCCTTGGCATGCTGTGGGCTGCTGTATTTATGGGGAGAGAATTTTCCCTTGTTCCCGGCTCCAGGGAAGGGGTGACCAGCAGAGGGTCCCTTCAGGGCAGCTGAGGCCGGCAGGGAGGGAACCTCGTGGGTGGCAGTCACCTTCCCGAGTAAGAAGGAAGGTGTTGTGCGCATCCTCTCATTTCTGGGGCCTGGCCACAGCCCTTGGGTTGGGCATAAGCCTCCCGTTCTGTGGTGAGGAATCTTGGGGTGTGTGTGGGGAGCTTTATTGCTCAACGAGGGTGGCTCTGTGCCCCAGGGCGGCCCTGGCTCTAGATCGCGCCTCTGGCTTCTTGCTCTGAGCTTCCTACTATGCGCCAGGCCCTGTCCCAGATGCGGTGGGTGCTGCCCGGGGGAGTCCGACAGGAAACAGGCCTTCACCCACTGCAAGACCAATGGGGGGCTATGGAAATAAGTGGGGGATACCCGCTGGCCTGGGGGCATCCCGGGGGAGGGAGTGGTGCAGTGGGGGGCTGAGAAATGGGCACCCCCCCCCAGCGGAGGGGGGAAGGAGTGTTCGTGACCTGGAGACCCCATGGCAAGGAAGAGAAGGCAGGAGCCTGGGGGCCTTCTAAAGAGTTTAGTCTTTGTCCCAAAGGCAGTGGGAGCCATGGAAGGTTGTTGAGCAGAGAAGGTTCAGGGTGAGAGCTGTAACACAAAGATCCCTGTGGCTGTTGTAAGCAAAGGATCTGAAGGAGTCAGGAGTGGAAGTGGGTAGAAATTTGGAGGCCGGGCAGACATAGGATGGGCATTCCCATGGCTGGGGGGCAGTGACTTGTGGCACAGTCAGGGCTCAGCTGTACTGGCCTCTTGACCGTCCCCTGGTCAGCTAGGAAGTCCACCTCACCCTGATGGCCTTGCGCTGGGCCGTGGGGCATGGCTGGTGGGGGAATTCTCTCGGGCCCAGAAGTGGGGTTCCAGGGACCTGTTGCTGCTATACAGGTGCTCTGAGCAAACCCATTCTTCAGGGGGTATTTGTGGGGTGACCTTGGATCAGTCCCGTGCCCTCTCTGGCAGCTGTCTCTCTTCTGAACAAGAACTGGCTGTTAGGGTGAGGGTGCCACTCAGCTGACTTAACCCCCTCTTGGCTTCGGCTCTGCGGGGTTCCGGCTGCTAGTTCAGGCTCTTCTCACGGGCGGTCTGCCAGTCCCCCTCCTCTGCTGGCCAGTGGAGCCTGTCATTACCCCTTCTTCCTGACTTTGCCCCTGATTACAGGTCCTGAGTGGGAGCCATGTCAGCCTTTCTGACAGCGGCCACCCACAGGGCCAGTGCGGTGTGGAACCCCAGCTCCCGGAGGCTGGCAGGTGGGGGTGAGATGGATCTGCCCAAACTCTGGTTCCGTGTTAGACTCAGGCTGATCTGGGTTCCTGTCATTTACAAGCTATGTGTTTCCAGAGAAGTCACTTAACTTCTCTGAATCTCAGTGTCTTCCTCTGTAAAGTGGGGACAGCACAGGAAATAACACGTGTGAACATGTAGCACCGTGCTGGGTGTGGAGGGGTGCTGAACACTTGGCTGTTGCTAGTACTTCTTCATAGTGATAGTAGGGTGGCCAGGTAGAAGGGCCCTGGGTTGGGCACTGGGGGCCTGACGTGCTGACCCAGCTCTGTTGACATATGCTGTGTGACCCCAGGAGAGTGTCGCCACCTCTCTGGACCATAAGCTTTCCCTGCTCTCCTAGGCGGACGATGGAGATGGTGGTACTTTGGGCAGCTGTGTGACACAGGGAAACTGAGTCCCTGGCTGCCTCCTCTACCTCTCCACCCTGGGCCTTCTCTCCAGGGCTCTGAGAACCAGGTAGGCAAGTTCCGGGCCTGCCCTGCCCTACAGGGTGCCGCCTGCCTGGTTTCAGTCGGCAAATCTCTTTCAGCCCTGAAACCGGGACGGGCCTCGTGGGTGAGGTGTGTCCCTGGGGCCCGCTGGAGGGACCGGATGAGCCGGGAACAGATTTGGCGCATTGCCCTCAACTCGGGCCAAGCTGGGGCTGGGACCAACGTGAAGCCCCTGTGGCTGGCACGAGGCTGACGTGGTCCCGGCTGGAGATTGCCCTCTTCGTCCTGGGACCCGGCAGTCAGTGTGGAGGGGGCCCCGGGCCTGGGCTCAGATCCTGCCTCTGCTGCTCCCCAGCTGAAGGACTTGGCAGGGATCCCGGTTCTCCTCATCTGAAATGAGACACCGCCTGCCTCAGGTTGAGTCCAGGATTGGGGGGGGTGACTCAACGTGACATGTGCTTGTACGTCACATGACAACGTGACGAGAAGGCCTTCGAGGCTCTCTGGGGCACCTCCGCACTCCTTTTTCTCATCCTCTGCTCCGGGAGCCCCTTCTCCTCTCTGAGCCTCAGTTTTGCCATCTGCACAGTGGGCTAAGTCCCCCTGTCCCCCAGAGTTGGCAGGGGACTGCGGGCCACCCTGGGGCCTCCCACATTCTTGCCCAGCCCCTGCTTTCTGACTGCAGGAAGCAGCGTGACCCATAACGTTGTCAGTTTGGGAAATCAGAGATTAACGTTCTTCCGGTTGCCTTGGCTACTGTTGGTGCTGGGCCTGGGGCTAGGCTGCACCGGGGGTTGCTCAGCTGGGCCAGGGGTGTTTCAAGGGCCTCTCTCCGGATTAGGGGAAGCTTGGACAAGAGGAACTATATAGGAGCCCCCGTTAACATGCCTCCTCTTTGCCAGGGTGAAATGCTTTATGCCCATTAGCTCATTGATCTTGACCTCTTCTTTTTTTAAATGTTTTTTAATTTATTTTTGAGAGAGAGAGAGTATGAGCATGAGCAATGGAGGGGCAGATAGAGAGAGGGACAGAGGATCTGAAGGGGCTCTGCTCTGACAGCTGAGAGCCTGATGCGGGGTCAAACTCACAAACTCCAAGATCATGACCTAAGCCAAAGTTGGACGCTTAGCTGACTGAGCCACTCAGGTGCCCCTGATCTTGATTTTCTCATAACCCCATCAGGCAGATACTGTTGTGCCATTTTGCAGAGGGGGAAACAGAGGCTCAGAGAGAGGAAGTGCCTTGACCAAGGCCACACAGTTAGTAGGTGGCAGAGCCAGGACTTGAACCCAGAGCCCGTGTGCCCAACAGAGATGGTGCCTCGTACACAGGTAGGGTTGATGCTGAATCCTGCCCCCCACTTCCCTCCCAGTCCTTCTGTCCAGCCTGAGGGGCCTGTGGTCAGACTCAGAACTGACTCACCAGCAGCTCAGAGGAGGTGCTGAGGCCAGCATCCCGGTCAGCTCCTGGGGCCAGGGCAACACTGATTATATCATCACTGAGATTTTGATCAGCTGAGCCAACAGGGACCTACCCACCCATTTTACAGGTGGGACAATTAAGGCCCAGAGAAGATGGACAGGTAAGGATCCAGTAGGTGTGAAGTTTCCCTGCCAGCTCAGACCAGTTTGGGGCTGGAGACCCCAGGCTTCAGTCTTGGCTCTGACAGTCATCTACTTACTGTGTGACCTTGGGAAAGTCACTTTGCCTCTCCGAACCTCGGTTTCTTCATGTGTAAAATGGGGATAGTAAGGTGCACTTTGCCTGCCTCTTGGGACCAGGCAAAGACCCCGAAATAAAGTTTAAGGCAGGACTAGAAATTATACTTTGGTGCCATGTGGGAGGCTGTTGGATGAGGAGGCTTTGTGGGGTGGGGGCTTTGTACAGGCTTTGAAACTCACCTCTTTCCCTTTCTGGCCTGTGGCATCTCTGAGTAGGTCACCTGGTCTCCCTGAGCCTCAGTTTCCTTATCTGTAAAGTGGGGATAACAGTATCTATTCGGGTTCAGTGAGCTGTTGAATATGCATAAGTTTTTAGTGATAGTCACATCTGGTAAACTCTGGGGGTTCTAGAGGCAGAGTTAGGAGGCCTGGATGGGAAGGGGGTGGCTCTAGGTCATTCTTTTTTTTTTTTTGTACAGTTTATTTATTTATTTTGAGAGAGAGAGAGAGAGAGAGAGAGAGAGTGAGCACAAGCAGGGGAAGGGCAGAGAGAGAGGGAGAGAGAATCCCAAGCACTAACAGTGCAGAGCTCACTGTGGGGCTTGAACTCATGAACTTTGAGATCCCAACCTGAGCCGAAACCAAGATGCTTGACTGACTGAGCCACCCACGTGCCCCTCTGGGTCACTCTTGATGGTCCCAAAGGGCGCAGCCCTTAGAGACAGGGTTCCAGTCATCTGGGAGGCAGAGAGATGCCCCCACATCCGGAGCCAGATGGAGCCCACTACCCTCGTGGTGCAGATGTGATGTGGAAATGGAGGCCCCGGGGAGGGGGCATTGGTCCCCCTGAGGCCCCAGAGCACAGTGGTGTCCGGGTGCAGATGGGGACACTCAGGTCCACTCCTAGGATTCGTGGGCTCATGAGGGAATCGGGACCCCATAAATGAGTGCTTCTCAAGACAGCCCCATGGAGCTCAGTAGCTTTCTGTTGACTGACAAGTGAAGTGACTTCTTGAGCCATTAGTCTTTGTGAGCATTGGTTTGTACACCTGTAAAGTGGAGGGTTTTATTCACGTCTGGGGCCATTTCAAGAATCTGAGTGTGTGCATTGGACCCTGAGTCTGAGTGGGGTGAGCTTACCTCCTAATTCTGCAGGATGTGCTGGCAGAGGGCACCTGGGGGGATGGGTGAGGAAACGTGGAAGGTGGTGAGGGCGGCCCACGCCCTCAGACTGCTCCATGCCAGCATCTGTACCTCCCAGCAGTTCTTGAGTCTGGGACCCCCGGGGACCTTGGGTGGGAGGGATGGTGAGCCTTGGCCTCGGCGGCCCTAAATCCGTGGTTTGTGGTGTCTCCAGAAGCCATGGGAGGAGGCGGGAAGAGCTGGCATGGGCAGGTGTGGAGGGGAGAGGAGCCCCGGAGGCCTGGGGACCATCCACGGACACTCAGGCTGGGGCATTGAACTGTAAAATCCCGACGGCAGCTCCAGGGAGACAGCTGCTGTAGGGTGGCCAGAAGGGAAGAAAGGGGGTGCTGAGCACTGCCCAGAGGAAGGGGACTGCCTGGGCCATGACCCCGGAGCTCAACGGGCAGGAGGAGCATCCAAGGCGGCAGGGGCTACCCATCCAGGTTTCCCTCCAGCAGCGTTGGCCAGACAGGCCGCTGGGGACCCTGTTGAGGGCTTCTCCCCTGTGAGCCCGTTCTCCCAGGAGGGGACTGGCCCCCTTCCCTGGCCTGCCTCTCTCAGGTCTTTCCAGCCCCAAATCCTAGGCCCCCTACAGCGCTGCCTTCCCGTGGCACTTCCTTTGTACCAAGCACGAGGCAGTTCCTTCCAGGCTGTCTTAGGACTCTCTCAAGAATGTGCTTGGGGCTGCCCTTGCCAGGAAGCCATCCTGCCGCCCTGCTCCCTGCCACACCCTCCCCCCCCAAGTCTTCCCTTTCTAACCCTTCCTTGACCAGAGTTAGGTCGAACGCACCCAGTTTCCTGGTGCCGCCTGGGACCCTTCTAAGGAACCCCTTGAGAAATGATGTCACCCCTACCCCTGGCCCAGCGGCTTGCCCAGTCCTGGGGCCTGGTGCGGAGTAGGTGCTCAGTAACTGGTGAGTGGACTGCCCCTTGCTCAGCATCTGCCTGTGCCAGGCCAGAGTGGGGAGCAAAGGGGAGCCAGTGGTGTGCAGAACGGTGTCAGGGCCACCCTCCCTGATTTACGGTCAATCCTCAGACAGATACTAGCATCCCAATCCATTTGGCTCCCGAGCTGGGAGAGCAAGTTTGGGTAGTGAGAGACCCCACTCTATGATGTTTGGTTCTGGAATTTCAGGTAGCAAAGTGTTTATCTGAAAACAGATCCAGATCTATATAGTTCTTCTTCTTCTTCTTTTTTTTTTTTTTTTT